AGAAAAAGTCTGGCTGAATCAATAGGAACCGACTACATGTTGTCCACAGAAGACTCGTATTAGCCCTAAAGACACACACACGCTAAAATTTAAAAAATAAAAACCAGCCGGGCATGCTGGCTCATGCCTGTAATCTCAGCACTCTGGGAGGCCGAGGTGGGTGGATCACAAGGTCAGGAGATCGAGACCATCCTGGCCAACATGGCGAAACCCTGTCTCTACTAAAATACAAAAAACTAGCCAGGTGTGGTGGTGTGTGCCTCTAGTCCCAGTTACATGGAAAGCTGAGGCAGGGGAATCGCTTGAACCAGGGAGGCAGAGGTTGCAGTGAGCGGAGATCGAGCCACTGCACTTTAGCCTGACAACAGAGTAAGACTGTCACAAAAATAAATAAATTAAAAAAATAAAATACCAATAGGTATGGGGGTTGGGGGTTGTAATCTCAGCTATTTGAGACACCAAGGAAGACCTCTTGAGCCCAGGAGATCAAGACCAACTTCAACAACACAGCAAGACCCTGTCTCTAAAAAAAAAAAACTCAAAAATTAGCCAGGCCTGATGGCATGCACCTGTACCAGCTATCATCGGAAGCTAAGTGGGACAATCACTTGAGCTCAGGAATTCAAGGTTGCAGTGAGCCAATGATAACACCATTGCACTCCAGAAAGACACTGTATTTTTTTTTTCTTGAGCCGGAGTTTCACTCGTTACCCAGGCTGGAGTGCAGTGGCGCGATCTCTGCTCACTGCAACCTCCGGCTCCCGGGTTCAAGCAATTCTCCTGCCTCAGCCTCCTGAGTAGCTGGGACTACAGGTGTGCGCCACCATGCCTGGCTAATTTTTGTATTTTTAGTAGAGACAGGGTTTCACCATGTTGACCAGGATGGTCTCGATCTCCTGACCTCGTGATCCACCTGCCTTGGCCTCCCAAAGTGCTGGGATTACAAGCGTGAGCCACCACGCCCGGCCAAGACACTGTATTTTTAAAAAAATTGTTTTAATACAAAATAACACAAAAGATACCTAATGATATTCCAAGTAAATGTCATCCAAAGAAAGCAGAGCTGACAACAGTAAAATATGTTTTAACACAAAATTATTTTATAGGAGACAAGGAAGGACATTATCTCATAATAGGGTCAATTCACCAAGAATATACAAGAACTAGATATATATATATATGCATGAATGTCAGAGCTCCATATATAAAACCAACATTTACAGAATCCAATAAATTGCTCCACAGCCATACTAGAAGATTCCAACATATGATTTTCCATAATGGATAAAACAAGAGTGCTGATCAATAAAAAAGTAGAGGGAGGCCAGGTGCGTGGCTCATGCCTATAATCTTAGCACTTTGGAAGGCTGAGGCGTGCAGATACCCTGAGGTCAAGAGTTTGAAACCAGCCAGGCCAACATGGTGAAACCCCATCACTACTAAAAATACAAAAATTAGCTGGGCATGGTAGCAGGTGCCTGTAATGCCAGCTACTCGGGAGGCTGAGGCAGGAGAATCACTTGAACCTGGGAGGCGGAGGTTACACTGAGCAGAGATCATGCTACTACACTCCAGTCTGGGTGACAGAGCAAGACTCTGTCTTAAAAAAAAAAAAAAGTCCAAGATGAAAGTAGCAATAACTTAACAAATAACAGTGCACTTCAAACCAGAGGCATCATTTCTGTGAGCTATGCTCCCCATGAGGACCTGGGGACCCATTACAGGATCTTTCTGTTGACTGTCTTTCCCACTCAGCTGAGTAACCAACTCAGAAGAGCCACCTATTCCCCTGTGACACATACCATAAAGTGTATAAAGCACAACTGAAGAATGGCTGCGTGACCTTGTAGAATAAGAAGAAATGCATATATTGGTCTCTCCTCCGGTTCCTGACACAGAGCTTTGAAGACCTTGGGATGTCCCGGGTGATGAGAGCATGATTTGTCCTCATGAGGAAACCTCTATGGTCTCCTGGATGGGGCTGATCACCAGCAAGATCAGGCCAGGCTTAGAAGCATGGAACAGTCACTGCCATCCACTGTCCTCCAGGAAGGGGAGAGGGGTTGGAGGCTGAGTTAATATCATCATGACTACGTGGTGAAGCCTCCATGCAAATCCCTAAATTATGGGGAAATGAGAGCTTCCAAATGCTGAACACACGCAGGTGCCTGGGGCACGGCACACCCGTGAATCTCCCCACAGTCCTTGTGTGGAGCACAGCTCACTGCAAAGATACCTCTGGATTTAAGTTCACTGTTACTTGTTTAAGCCACTGCTACTCTCATCTAGGACATTTCTATATATTACACATGATCTTGGCTTGTATTTAGTCTTTGTGTTCTTTGTTTTATATCAATAATGTGTGGAACTGTTACATCAGAGAATGACTACTGATTCACAGGTTAGTGCCTCCCCCTGTGGATCTCCGCCTCTGGCCATCCATCTGTGACCTGTGAAACATCCTTCATCAAGAGCCTAAGAAGGTGTTTCACTGAGCTTTGTTGGCTGCCCTAGCAAAGTAATCAAACCCAACAAAAAGGTTGAGGGAACCCAACTCACAGCTGGTTGGTCAGAGGAACATGTGACAATATACTACTTGCAACTGGCATCTGAGGTCGGAGGCTGGCCTTGCCCGCCTGGGAACTCAACCCTCCACCTTTGAGATCTGACTCTAACTCCAGGTAGGCAGTGTCAGAACTGAATTAAACTACGGGACATTCAGTTTGTGTCTGTCCAAGACTGGGATGTGATTGGGGGTAATTCCACATATTTTGGTGATCAGAAGGGAGGCGTTTTGTGCTCAGTGCCATGTGAGAGTAGAAAAAGCACTTTGTATTGTGCTTTTTTTTTTTTTTTTTTTTTTTTTTTTTTTTTTTTTGTTTTTTTTTCTTTTTTTTTGTTTTTTTTTTTTTTTTTTTTTTTTTTTTTTTTTTTTTGTGGTGGGGATACAGAGTCTCACTCTGTCACCTAGGCTAGAGTGCAGTGGCAGGATCTCAGCTCACTGCAGCCTCTTCCTCCCAGGTTCAAGAGATTCTCCTGCCTCGGTCTCATAAGTATCTGGGATTACAGGCGCCTGCAACAATGCCCAGCTCCTTTTGTATTTTTAGTAGACACAGAGTTTCACCATGTTGGCCAGGCTAGTCTCAAATTCTTGACCTCAAGTGATCCGCCCTCCTCAGCCTCTCAAAGTGCTGAGATTACAGGTGTGAGCCACCATGCGTGGACTTTTTTTCTATTTTAAATAGACAAGCAGACTATTTGAACAAGCAGGAGGAATCCATGCCATATCCCGGGCCCCAGATGCAAAGGACAGCAGCCCATGTTTCCCATCTCCTGATTAGGTGTTGCAAGTAGAGGAAATGGGATGGAACCTGAATAGGTCAAGGGGCAGGTATATGGAGGCCTCAGCTCTGAGCTATAGGGACAGAGAATGGAGCATCAGATGGAATCAAGTACATAGCCTTCCCTGTGCCGCAGAGGCAAGAAACCAAAGAGGTCACAGAAGCCAGATGACAGGGTGTTGCTCATCAGGATAAAGACTCTGCCTTTGTCTCTTTCCTGCAGTACTGCTAGAACGCCCAAAGATCAAACTACTGCACATCTAAAGAGCAGAGGGGCCGGGCACAGTGGCTCATACCTACAATCCCAGCACTTTGGGAGCCTGAGGGGGGTAGATCACCTGAGGTCAGGAGTTGAAGACCAGCCTGGCCAACATGGTGAAACCCCGTCTCTAATAAAAATACAAAAATTAGCCAGGTGTCGTGGTGGTGCACACCTGTAGTCCCAGCTACTTGGGAGGCTGAGGCAGGAGAATCAACTAAACCCAGATGGCAGAGGTTAGAGTGAGCTATTGGCACAATAGCTCACTGCACTTCAGCCTGGGCAACAGAGCAAGACTCCGTCTCATAGATAAATAAATATACAAATTAAAAAGTAAAGAGCAGAGGGATAAGTGGCGGCAAAGAAAGATGTCCATTCAGAGATCTCAGGATTTAAATTTTTCTTTTCCCACAGAATTCCTCCACTTGCAGTTTCCCCACACACTATTTGAAGGCGTAGCTTCCACTCTGCCCATCTGAGCTCCACCTGTGTTTACACCTGTAATACATTTCCCCCCATCTGGATGTTTTGCTATTTTGACTTCACTCTCCACAGCCCAGAGCTCTTTCCCGGGCTCCAACATGGAGACAACAGGTAAGAAACAGACTCCTGTGTCTATGTGTGTATATATATATGAACATGATGTGCTGGAGCTTTTCAAGAGTCCCAACCTATGTTTCAGTAGGAAAGAGGACAACACAGATGGATCTAGAAAAATATTTCAGAAATTCCTCCACTGACTGCCTCCTTCTGAATGCTTTGAGAGCATTGTAATATGTAGACATGGAGCTCTCTTTTAAGAAGTACTGAATGAAAAATACATGAATAGCAAACAGGAAACTGAGTATCTTTAACGTCTACCAGAAGGTTTTGTTTATGTTTTTGTTTTTTAAGACACAGTCTCACTCTGTCACCCGGGTGGACTGCAGTGGCACGTTCTCAGCTCACTCCAACCTTCACTTCCCAGATTCAAGTGATTCTTTATCCTCAGCCCTTCTAGTAGCTGAAATTACAGGTGTGCACCACCATGCCCAGCTAAATTTTCTATTTTTAGTAGAGACGGGGTATCACCATGTTGGCCAGGCTGGTCTCGAACTCCTGACCTGAAGTGATCCACAAGACTCAGCCTCCCACAGTGCTGGGATTACAGGCACGAGTCACCGCCTAGGTTTTATAACTACTTTAGTTCTGGAACCCCCTCTGAGGTATCATGAAGAACGCACAACATCTGAACAAATGGGACAGTTAAAGTCCAGATGCTGTAACATGAAGCTTTTCATTTCAAAATCAATACGGCTTCCCTTTTAGGCAAGCAATGACACGGCTCCCAAGAGGCAACAAAGGAAAATAGGAACATACGCAAGGGCACGTCCCCGCTTCTGGAGGGAAGTTGTCCTCACCCAGGGAGACCAGGTTCCTGTAGTTCTCCAACATCACGTCCCTGTGTAAAGTCCTCTGAGCAGGGTCCAGGCACTTCCACTCCTCCGGAGAGAATTCTTTTTTTTTTTTTTTTTGAGACGGA